ATACCCCATGATTTTATATTCATGTTCAGATGCCAAGGATCTCAGAAAGTAATTGACTGTGACTACTAGTAGTCAGATATACAGAGATTAGGAATGCATGTGCAAACATCTTAGTATTAATTGCATTAAAAATGAATTTTTCTGTATGAAACTGTGTATTTTAATAAGGAAATGTGTTGGGAGCCTGAGGCTCAGCCATTTCTCAAAACTGCTGAACAGACCTAAGCTGGTAACTTTCCATTCTGCCCACTCTCCTCCCACGGGCACGGGATAGAGCCCGCGACCTTGGCCCACGGCCTTGTACTCTTTTCCAGTAAACTGCCCTGTTTTCCATTAATCAGTAGATTCCTCCCTTAGAGTACATCTGGGCCCCTGCGGTCTAGCTGATATGATTATTCTCAATCTGTACTCCTTTGTTCTCATTCTCTATTTAACCTCATGCTTGTGCTGCAATAAATGAGACTTGATCAGAACCCTGTCTTGTCTCCATTTCTTGTGTCTCTTGCCCCCATCCAATCCCCACTCCCCACTCCAGGTACCCTGTTGCAGATCCCGCAGGCCGGGACAGCTGGCGCCCAACGTGGTGGCTGGATACTGGGGTCACATCGTGAGGGAGACACCGGAGAAAAAGGAGTGCACTTGCTAAATCTCAAGGAATTCGGAGACGCGCCGTGTGAGCCTGCCGCAACCGAACCGAAAGTAAGTCAATCCATCAGATCATGGGGCAAGAATTGAGCCAGCATCAGATTTATGTGAAGCAATTGAAAGAGGCTCTAAAGACACGAGGAGTAAAGGTTAGGACTGCGGATTTATTTCATTTCTTTGATTTTGTAAAGGAAATTTGTCCCTGGTTTCCCCAAGAAGGGGTCATAGATATAAAAAGATGGAGAAGAGTGGGAGATGCATTACAAGACTTTTATACAGTATTTGGACCTGAAAAGATTCCTGTTACTTCCTTTTCTTATTGGAATTTAATAAAAGAATTAATAGATAAGAGGGATGGACCAGTGGTGGCAGCGATTGCCCAAGCTGAAGAGATTTTTAAAAGTAGTTCCAAGCCAGAGTTGAGGGAAATTCCCAAGGATGAGCCTGTAAGTGCTAGGGCAAACAATTCCTCTGTTTTGTCTCGTCCCTTGGCTCTGTCACCCTTACAAAGGCTTGTGCAGCATGACGCTGAGAAAGGAGAGGATATATCATTTACCAGAAGCTGCCTGTCCAACCTCGGATACAGATGGCTCAGAGTCTGAGAGGGAGGGGTTAATTTGTAAAACTGGGATTAGGTCACCAAAAGGCCACAAGAGACAAGAGTATGACCGCCCTCCTTCTTTCAGTGTACCGTCAGCTCCAACTATAATGGCAGCAATAGATCCGAGGTCAGAATTGAAGGAACAGGTAGCACAATTGCAGGAACAAATTAAACTAGAGGAATTGCAACAATCATTAATACTTAAATTGCAGAAACTCAAGACAGGCAGGCAGTTGTAGACAGGGATAAAGTTCACCGAGCCCCCAGAGGACCTGGCCTCCACTCATAAAGAGAACTTTAATAAACCTGATAAACTTCCCTCCTACATGGAGGCTTTTCCTGTGACAGAAACGACAGATGACCAAGGGCAAGCATGGTGACATCATGTAGGTTTTGATTTCCACTTCATTAAAGAACTAAAAACTGCTGTGTCTCAATATGGAGCCACAGCCCCATATACCTTAGTAGTCTTAGATGGTGTGGCTGAACATTGGCTAACTCCCAATGATTGGAATACATTAGTATTCCAAGGCATTTCAGGCAAAACCAATTCAGGTCCATTATCATCGCCTTGATATTTTGGATCACGAATGCGAAGGGAGGTGTTGCTATGATGGCGCTACTAGCCATCCCCCTTGAGAGATAAACTGAACAGTCAATGATGAATACATGAAAATTCCCCTTTGATGGCAACCTAAGACAGGAGGGTAGTCTAATGCTACTACCTTATCCAATGACGGATAAGCCCTTGGGGAACGACACTCCCACCTAAGACAGGCGCAGTTCCCTAAGGGTCTAGCAACCTTCGGTCCCTAAACTCTATAGAGTAAAAAAGGGGGAACTGTTGGGAGCCTGAGGCTCAGCCATTTCTCAAAACTGCTGAACAGACCTAAGCTGGTAACTTTCCATTCTGCCCACCCTCCTCCCACGGGCACAGGACGGAGCCCGCGACCTTGGCCCGCAGCCTTGGCCCACGGCCTTGTACTCTTTTCCAGTAAACTGCCCTGTTTTCCATTAATCAGTAGATTCCTCCCTTAGAGTACATCTGGGCCCCTGCGGTCTAGCTGATATGATTACTCTCAATCTTTACTCCTTTGTTTTCATTCTCTATTTAACCTCATACTTGTGCTGCAATAAATGAGACTTGATCAGAACCCTGTCTTGTCTCCATTTCTTAAAATGTGGTGTGGCTCTGTAACAGTGTACTTTCCTAGCATATCACAGGGCTGAATGCCCGTGGGCCGGGACAGAAATGGAGATCTTTTTTAAAGGTTAAAACCTCATTTAATTTTATGTCTTATAGGGTTTATACTGAGTACAACATTGTATAACTGTATTAATTGAACTGTAAACCTAAAAATTTACAGCCAATTTTGAAAGAGTCTTAGCTCTGGAAATTGTTATTGAACGTGTCAATGCTGGTGTAATGAAATGCATCTTCTAATTATGTGGTTATTAAATAAATAATTTTTTAAAAATTGGGGAAAAAAAGCACGAAGCAGCCTAAAGGGAGCAAGTCAGAAGATGTGTCTAACACCCCCAGAGGCTGTTACAGAAACAGTGTCTGCTTACCTGAACAAAGTCACCACGTTCTCATTGGTTGCCACCACTTCCTCCTCTGGAAACATGCTCAAGATGGCAGCTTTCAAGAACACATACGTTGCCTTGAGGAAAGGAAGAAAAGGATGGTCCCTAGATAGCATCTAAGGGTGTAGGACATTTCAACCTTGCAAACAGAAATGCTTTAGATGTCATCTAGATAGCATGTTAAGAGGCATCCAGGAAATCAAAGGAAGATGTCAACTGTCCATTTCAAATGATAACAAAACTTTTCAATAATTTAGATTATTTCCCCATCATAGGACTATACCATTCATGGGTAAGAAAGTGGACAGACTGAACAAAAGATTATTATCTCTTGCACTCAACTTCTCAAAAATGGGTCAGAATTCATTTTAATTATCACAAAACGCTTGGTCACCAGGGCACTGGAAGGTCTTCAAAGGTCACCAAGGTTACAGTACTGCTATGCAAGACTTTACATATACAATGCGGTTCATCCTTGCAGGAAAGGTTCTTTGTTGGAAAGAAGTTTCTGGATGGCTATGAAGCTGGGAATGCTGACGACAGCATCTCCGATGACACTGGGGGTACTCACTGCCTGCTTCTTCCTCCTGTCATCTCTAAGTTGAGAGAGCAAATCACAGCCACACTCTAGAACAAATGGTCCTAATGACACACCACTGTGGTCACACTGAGCAGAGAGATGACATTAACAAGAGCACTACATTTTACCTTGGACCATTTACTCTCTTTGCAAAGTAGATCGGAATAATAATACGCCTGCATCCAGTTTTGTTGGAATATATTAATCCACATTAGCTCCCAGTAACAGAGATGGTGAAACTGTTTCCATTCTTCTTGAACTGAAATGCATTTTCGAAATATCTCTTGAGCCTATAAGTCAATTGCATAAAGCTGATCATCCAGACATTAGACAAGGAGATAATAACCTAATGGAAAAATACATAAAACACTTTGTACAAAAAGAACAGAATTATCAGTCATTAAGCCATCCAACATGACATCACATTCTCTTGCTTACATGCAAAGATATGGTTGAGTTCTGCCTCTTGTTTAGCTTCATGAGGGGACCTTGATATTTTATAATACAGGAGTATAAAAGCTCCTTTCCAAATGAAAATAGAAAATGCCAACATCTTTTAATAAAAGCCTGACTAGTATAAAGTAAGGATCTCCACTGAACAAAACATACTTAAAGCTCCAAGCACAGAGCAGGCTAAAAGGCATTACTCCTCACGTAACGGACAGAAGCTAATTGAACCCTTATCAGATGACAATGTTACCTAGTCTTTTAAGAAAAAGACAACTCAATGGGAAAATTTAGTAAAGATATAAACAGGCAAATGAGAGAAAAGAACGTATAAATAATATATATATAACAAATTCATAAACAAGCTAATTAAAATTTAAATTTGAAGTAGATATATAGTTTAGTGGTAAAGTACTTGCCTACCATACACAAGGCCACCACACATTATTTGTTAACAATAATAATATAAATGAAAATTCAATTCTCCACTACAGTCACTATATTGACAATAATTAAAAAGATTGAAGGTGTTCAGAGTTGAAAAAGAGCACAGAAAATATTCCCATATTGATAAAGATTTGGGTTTTTTTAAATGTGTATGTGTGAGTGCCTACAACTGTGTGTGGGTTTGTGTGTGTGTGTGTGTGTGTGTGTGTGTGTGCGTGTGTGTGTGTGTGTGCCTCATAAAGCCAGAAGAGGGCCATAGATTCTCTAAATCTGGAGTTATAGGCAATTTTGGGCTGCCTGATGTGTGTACTGGGAACTGAACCTGGGTCCTCTGCAACAGCAACAAGTGCTCTTAACTACTGAGCCCTCTTTCCAGCCCCAGATTCTCATTCCTTTACAGAAGTTTAAGTTGAAATTAAGGAAGGAAATAAGGCAGTTTGGCTGGATTTATCGAAAATGTGACCCAGAAATTCTGATGATCAGAATCTGTCTTATACTGATACACCTGTACACAGGTATATGTACACAATGATTATTTGTACTGGCCAGATAGCTATCAGCAGGAGATCATCCCATGAAATGAACAGAAGTAAACTTAAATATACTGACCTGGAGGAGGATCCAAGATGTATTATAATAGAAAGAATCACACATATACAAAATGTTTGATCTTATTTGTGTAGAAAAAAGAAAATCACACACACATATACATAAAAGCCTCTCAGTCAAGCTGGGCATGGTGGCACACACCTTTAATCCCAGCACTTGGGAGGCAGAGGCAGAGGGATCTCTGTGAGTTCGAGGCCAGCCTGGTCTACACAGTGAGTTCCAGGCCAGCTGGGGTTACAGGGAAACCCTATCTCAATAAAGAAATCCCCCCCACCCAAAAAAAACTTCTCAGTCTTCTACTTCAAGGGAATTACTAAACCAGTTCCTCTGATGAGGAACCTAAGTACAGTGGAGTTGCATCTGACATAGAGGATAGGTTCCAAAATCAATGTGTCAACCCCTGAAAATCCCTTTGATTTCCCATGTGTTATTTTATATATTTTTCCCTGAACTACTTCTTGTGTTTTTATGTGGAAACATGCACTAAGCTAAGCTACTAAATATGACAGAACATATGCACAAAGCAAAATTTTGGCTTTTTAAAATGACACTACCTTCTCTGTTTTTCTAGTCCACACAGCTGAATTTACTTCTGCTGAATGACTGAAGGGTAAAGTCTACCACAGACACAACCTAAACAACCCTTGCCAAAAGTTACCTTTTCAGTGTTTCCTTTCAGCAGCTCGATTCGGGCATGGTAGAACAACATGAGAGAGCCCTGCGGAGAAAGGAAAGGACACTCTTCAGCAGACGGTGACGGCAGGTAAATTGTGGCTGAAACAGGATGGAAATACTAAGCGTACGTTTGGAAACTGCTGAAGGAAGGGGGCAAGGAGGCTTTCTGCTTCCACGACATTCACTTCTCCTGTACCTAGAAATTGAACAGGACACGGCTCAGTGCTTAGGAAACAAGGCAGATATTTACAACTTCCCAAATTTTATTAGTATACAGTACTCGTGCACAAGATGAAAACCTATTCTGTCATTTTTTCCCATCTGGGAAATTAAGAAAAGTCATATAAAGAGAGCTCCAGGGCAGAAAAATTCCTAAGAATGGAGGTGACTAACTTAGCTTTCCAATTAGAATTGCTACATTTAAAGACAAACTAAATTTTTTAGAAAAAATTAAAACCTCACATGGTTGTGATAAGACAGCACCTTAATACAGACATTTTATCTGAGAACAGATTCTAAATGCTCAGTGAAAGAAACTGGCCAACTGCTTCTGCTGAGCATCACTAAACAAATGGGACTATTTTCCATCTTAACTCAAAAAAAAAAAAAAAAACAGATAAAGACTTATCGATCTTACTGGTTTTTCTAAGGTTTTACTTATTCAGGTTAAAGATTGTTAACTTCTTGTGAAGCAAAGTGTAACCCAGACCCTACCAAGTATCAGGGAGATGTAGGTGTGGAAGGCCAGGATGGTAAGGCAGCAGAGCGGAGACCGCATGCTCCTTCCTGAGGCACCTTCCCGCAACTGCAGAAGGCCCAAGTCCTGTGGAAAGTAAATGGAGTACAGAGAGAGAAAAATGTAATTCATTAAATGTTTGCCTTCTGTGAACTTGGGGTTTTATTTTTTTATCAGCTTGGACTAGTGGTCGTACTTAAATAGAAACAAACTTTACAAATTAAATGGGCATATGATGATTTGATAAAAAATTTTTGGATTCAGTTTATTTTTACTTTATGAGTATTTTGCCTACATGTATATAAGTATACCAACATGCTCAATGCCTGTAGAAGACAGAAAAGGGCACCAGATTCCCTGGAACCAGTGTGGTTAGCTGTCATAAGGGTGCTGGGAACCTGGGTTCTCTGCAAGAGCAGTCAGGGCTCTTAACTGCTGAGCCAGCTCTCTAGCCTCTGATAAATCTTTTTATATCTGTCATAGATAGCTTTAATTGTCAACTTGACACAGCCTAGAGTCATCTGAGAGGAAACCGTCATTGAGGAATTGTGTAGATCAGACTAGCCTGTGGGCATGTCTGTGGGGGATGGTCTTGACCGTAAATTAATGCAGGAGGACCCAGCTCACTGTGGGCTGCACCACCCATAGGCAGGGGGTCCCAGGCTATATAAGAAAACTAGCTAAGCATGAGTCTGTGAGTGAGCAAGACAGCAAAAGCCAGCAAGCAGCATTCCCCCATGGTTCCTGCCCTGATTTCCTGCCTGACTTCTTCAGTAAAGAACTGTACCCTGTTCATCACAGCAGCAGACATCAAACTATTATCTGCTATGTGATTCTAGGGAGAGAAAAAAAGCAATGCTCATTTCAGAGAAATGCTCTATTTCTTTAATAAAAACATTAGTTTACTAAAATACAGTGAGTTGCTGGCGATGTGTCTCAGTGGTAGAGCACTTACCCAGCAAGAGTAAGGCCCTTGGTTCAATCCACAGCACCACAAAAGCCCATGTTGAGGATCTAAGCACAAGGCACTAAGGTGGGCAAGAAAACATGATTCTATGTCCGCAGAGATCTTGCTACCCAATAGGGAAGACAGAACAGAACATGAACTCACAATTTTATGAAAACAGAGTGAGTACCATTAGATAGGTGAATAAATTATTCTGAAAGTTAGAAACACTTGAGCCTCATGGGGGAAGTCTGAGGGAAGTTTGAGGGAAGGCTGTGTGGAAGGGATGACATATATTTCAAGCCTAAGGAACGAGAACATCACTTGAAAAGAAGCTGGCTGGGGAAAATATAAAAAACAGACACCATCAGAAATCTTCCCTTTCACAACTAAGATGAAATGAAATCTTTACCCTGTTTCCAGAAAACCCAATAAATTCTAGTAATCTGATGATTCTTGCTGGTAAAAGGGACAGCATCTGTAAGAAAAAATAGGTATGTAAGTGTACTTTCATGCCTCTGTCTCTAATTGTAGATAAGTGTACACCTAAGGAAACTACAAGTTTTTAAAGAAGCTTAAACAACTGGGTCAGGATGAAGCAGACACAAAGCCATCACATGAGTCTCCACACGGGCTTGGCTCTTCTCACATAAATGAAATGACACATGAGAAACCGTCCCTGGCACCACAAGGTGAGGCTTCTCTCATATTTTCTGTTTTGATTGGTTTTGTTTTGAGACAGGGTCTCATTTGCAGCCCATGCTGGCCTTGATTAAGTATTCCTCCTTCTTCCTAAGTGCTGGGATTATAGGCCTGTGCTACCACACCCGGTTTTGGCAAGGTTCTTCTAGCTTCCTTTCTGGAAAGTAAAAACTCTGAGGCATTGTGGGTACTATGAAGGCACCAATGGAAGCAGAGGGCTGCAGCAGCACAGCTCTTCCTGGAACATCCCTGAAGGACAGTGGAAGGGAAAGTCTCAGAGACAGCTATATGTTTGGTTATATACCAATCCGCCGGCTGTGGCCAATGGGTTGGCTAGATGGTCAGGGGCTTAGAAGGAAGACATTTGCTCCATTTCTCCAAATGGACAGTAGATGTGGAGACACTTGTCCCAGGTGAGTCATGAGGTTATGGCCAAAGCCCCAACTAGGTCACAGCATAGGATAACTGATCCATTCCAACTGCTCATCAACCAAACAGAAACGGAGGTTCAGGATAAGGTTCGAATGCAGTAGTGAAGGTACTAGAAACATTGGTTTCTTCTACAAAAGGTTCTGGTTTATGTACAATATTTCCTTACCAAATTAAAGGCCCCTGTTCCAAGCTTGACACCTCCTTCAAACTCATAAAAGAACTGCTGCTCATGTTTGTTCTTCTGAATTACATGCAGGATGGAAAGGCACTCCCTGGAGTAAGAAAAAGGGTTAGAGCACAAGTTCCCCACAACTCTGAAAAAGAAATCTTAAGTCAAATTTTGTGCTTACGTACTATAACTGTCATTGTCTAAAATACTACCAAAATTGTATATGTCTGATATTGTGCTGAGCTTACTCTTAAGGCTACTGGGTAATACCCAAGGGGAAAGAGAAGACACTCATTTTACAATATTTAGTAAGACAGCGTTTCGGAGCTTAAAGAAAAAGAGGGGCCAGCCACCAACTCCACCCAGGAGACACAGAGGCACAGGGCTGCAATCTGGCAGCTTCCCAGGCACCTTTTACGGAGACTTCCTGGGAGTGCTCAGGTCTCAACTGCTGTGCACACTGCACAGCCTGACCTTCCACACAGAAACTCAGGTGCTACAGGCAAAAAGGCGTCCACTTCAGCGTAACTGCCATGGTCTCACAGACCGCGTAAACTGGACCTTGTTGTGACTAGGAAAGTCTAAAAGAACAAAGTGAATCCCCACAACTGCCTAATTTGTCCTCTTTTTCTTTTGGAGGAGGGGGTGTGGCAGGAGTGGTGGTGGTGGTGACTGAACCCAGGATGTTCACACATTAGGAAAGTGCTTTTCTACTAAGCTATAGCCTCAGACATCTTCAAAAGGTAAATACAATTAAAACAATGACCAAGATATTAAAACTGGTAATAACTGGTAACTGCTTGTCAAACTGACAAATATAGTTATGAAATGGTAATGTAGAGAATATACAGTTCAGTGGCAGAGCATCCACCTATCCATGCGGCCCTGGGTTCCAGCCCCAGCACCAAATACAGTGACAACAGCAAAATAGCAAGGTATATCAAATACCATTTACCACTAGTAGTTTGCAGCTATATAAAAGCACACAACTCCACTTATTCTAGCCAATCCATTTAATGATAATCTCATAAGCCTGCAGACCTAACTTTCAGTTTATAAGCAATATTAACAAGCTGGAGAATCAATTTAATTTAGACTCCTATCAACCTAGGAATAGCCCATGCTGTCATTTGCCCTGAACCACTACATAGCACTTCTTCTACATTTAAAAAAAAAAAAAAAAATAGGCAGGGAGGGTAGCTCAACCCTGGAACCACAGCACCAAGGAGACTGGTGCAGAACGGCCAGGAGTCCAAGGTCAGCCTGGGCCACACAGAGAGACCCTGTCTTAAAACAGAGACTAAGAAGACATGACAATTAAATGTGGACCCCAGGTTAGACCCTAGACAGCAAAAGGGCATTGATGGGACAGCTGGAAAACTGTAAAGGCAAGAGACATTGTGTTCATGTGAGTCTCTTCAAAGTGGAATTTTTAAATTAATAGATGTGTGTGTGTGCGCTCACGCACGTGTGTGTGTGTGTGTGTGTGTGTGTGTGTGTGTGTGTATCTGTGTGGGGCTATGTACATATGTGTGCAGTGCTCAAGGAGGCCAGAGACATCAGATACCCTGGAGCTGGAGTTCTGGGGATTTGTGAGTTGCCCGGTGTGGGTGCTGAGACCCACAACTCCAGTGTTCTGGTAGAGCAGCAAGTGCTCTTAACTGCCTCTCCAGCCTTAGTGGAAAATTTTAATCAAAGTTTAAAAGCTTTTTAATTTTAAGCTATAATTGAGCCATGATTGTGTAAGATGTTGATATTTGTGAATCTGAATACAGATATATGAAAATTCTCAATAATAATTGCAAATTATTTAAAAATAGAAAAGGTGAGTTCAAAGGCTTTTTAATTTTTTTTTTTTGGACAGGGTCTCCCTGTTGCCCCAGCTGGCCTGGAATACACTACGGAGCTCTGGCTGGCCTCTATCTCAGAGAGATCCAGCTGCCTCTGCCTTCTCAGCGCTGAGACTAAAGGTTGCACCACCATGCTTGGCAGCTTTTAAATTTTAAGAGTTTTATTTAATTTGTGTGTGTGTGTGTGTGTGTGTGTGTGTGTGTATGCGCATGTGCACAGGTACCCATGGGAGCCAGCAGGGGTCTGACCTTTGATCCCTTGGAGATGGAGTTACAGGGATTTGTGGGTACTGAGATCTGATTTCTGGTCCTCTGATAGAGCAGCAAGTGGTCTTAACTGCTGAGCTATGTCCCCAACCCTAAGCTTTTTCATTTTAAGACTATAAAAGGTTTTCCTAAGTTCTCTGGTAACTTAGAATTTCTTTTTTCATTTAAAAAAATTTGTTAAAGTTTATTTATTATGTGTATGAGTGTTTGTATGCATGTACGCAAGTGCAACATGTGTGTGTGCAATGGCCACGGAGGCCAGAAGAGGACATCGGATCCCCTGGAACTGGAGTTTGAGGCAGTTGTTAACCACCATGTGGGTGCTGGGAACCAAACTTGGGTCCTCTACAAGAGCAGCCAGTGCTCTTACCACTGAGTCATCTTCTCCAGTCCCTATTTAAATTTTTTTAAATATTGAATTTGTATGGAATTTATTTTTGTATTAATGGTATGCTTTTTCCTTAAAAAAGTTTTCCAAAAAATATTTTTTTGCTATACAAAGAAAATTTATTTTTACCAAATGCTGTATTTTAGTAATTGCAAAAATATTTTTAATAATGAGTTCATACAACATATTTTGATCATATTCAGACCCCCTTCTCCCTTTCCATCCTCACCCCACTACTGTCTCCCCTAAATTCATGTTCTCCATTATTATTTGTCTTTTTTTTTAAAGGCCTATCAAGTCTAATCTGTGTTTCCAAAGGTCTGTCCTTTGGAGTGTGGTCAACCTACCAGGTGACAGACCAGTAAGGAAGACTGACTGTAAATGATTTCAAAGTGGAAAAGTTGAGTTCAAAGGCTTCCAGAAGCTATCAATTGCCAATAGATCCTCAGCTAGAACTGGGGCTTCTTGCCTACTCCCACAATCCATGCCGGATTTCTGTGTAGCCTGGATTTGCACCGGTTTTTGTACATGCCACAAGCCCAAAAATGTCTGTTTGAAATGTTTCTCTTTCTCCGGGGCTTTGAAAAGATTCATAAATAGGAATTTAGTATATTGTGAATTCCTTGTTAAATATATGTGTGTACATGTAAGCAAACACGCACACACACACACACACACACACACACGCGCGCGCACGCAGGCGGGCGCCAGTTCAAAGCCGGGTCATCCCACTGCTACAGACATTCTTTGCTCTAACAGGACTCTTTAAGTGTTTTTAAGTTTTGATGACTGAAAAAGCAATCAACTCTTTAACTTTCTTTTCTATCGTCTAAAAAGTACTTAGAGAGGAAATCTAAAAACATTATGCCAAGTTCCCAAAATTTACTCCCTCTTGCAAGATATATTTTAATGGATTACAGATTTATGCATGACTATTGGTAAAAGTACCTCTTAAAATACTAATTTTGATTCTATGTCTGCTAATGGGATCTGTTTCCAGTAATGGCAGGAAGCTGACATTAGCTTTATCCTTTCACAGATAATAATTATAAACTCTGAAAAATACATAAAAATATATTTTAAATATTTTTTCAAGCATGGAAACTGAAAGTGCTAGGGAAGCAGAAACTGGAAGAGCTAGATCTGAAAGCCGAGAATAACTCACAGATAACTTTACATCTATGTGTCTATGCTCCTGAAAGGACACCCCACTCTGTCTGTGGTGCACAGAACTCAATCAGAAAGTCACAGCCTTGCTGGCTTAAAGTCAGAGTACAGAGTTCAAGACTGCTAGAGGGGCTGCAAGGTAATAAGGAAATTTCCAAAGACAGGAGAACTACACTTAAGGGAACATCAAACTCTGTTAAAATGCTACTCGAATTCTTGGTTGCCCCATAAGCTACGTGAGTCCTAGGGAGGGTCCAAGCAGGAGCAAGACAGCAAAAATACTGGAGTACTGATGGCAGGTGCTACTCGATCCAAGAGTAGCAATCCAGGGCTTCCCAGAACAGAGCTTGGCACTCTTCAGAGAAAGGATAACAGAAACTAGGTTCCTAGCACACACCAGTATCTAGGGTACAATTAAGAGAATTATTGAGCAGTAACAGAAAACTATGGCAGAGAGTAAAGAGAGAAAACAATGAATAGAAACCAACTCCAAGATAACCCACATGTTGGGATAATGAGGGAGGGAGGGAGGGAGGGAGGGAGTCAGGCTGGCTAGCACATGTGACTGAAGGCTTAGAGGAAATGCAAGTCTGAATGATGTAAAAAGAGTCTTTGAGGAAATAAGGGCCACAAACCTCTCAAGCCACATGCAAACTGTCGAACTCAAAACTACAAAATATTCTTCGAAGAGGCAAGAAAAAATGACAATTAGACATGTCATAAACAGCAGAGGCACTGATACAGTACAGTATCAAAGAGCTGAAAGAACAAACACCCCGACAACTCAGAATACTATATTCTCGATGATGAAGGATATTCTTGATGGTGATAGTCAAAATAAAAAGATTTTCAAATAAATGAAGCAGGAAAAAAAACTTGCTGGAAGCAGACCATACTAAGAAGAAATGCTAAAAGAAGTTTGTCAGTTTGAAAGTACATAGAAAGCATGAAGAATACAAAGACAGCAAATACAGTGGTGAGCAGACGGCAGCAGGACAAATAACTTTCAAACTAAAGACTAACACTGTACTTTGGGGTTTGGTGATATATGTAAGCACAGTTCATATCACAAGAATAGTATAAAGGCTGTCCTAGGTAGCTTTAAATACTGCCAACTTGGCATAGTCTAGAGTCACCCAAGAGAGTCTCAACTGAGAGGCTGCCCAGATCAGACTGGCATGTGGGCATGTCTGCAGGGGATCGTCTTGATTATTAATTGATGAAGGAGGACCCAGCCCAATGTGGCCAGCACCATTCCCTAGGCAGGTGGTCCTGGGTTGTATAAGAAAGCTAGATGAGCATGAGCCTCTGCAAGCAGGCCAGAAAGCAGTATTCCTCCATGGCTTCTGCTTCAAGTTCTTGCTTGAGTTCCTGCCCTGACTTCCTTCATTGATGGGCTGTGACCTTCAAATGCAAGCTGGAATAAACCCATTCCTCCGTTAAGTTGCTTTTGATCTTGGATTTTAACAGCAATAGAAAGGAAACTAAAACAAAGGCCAACAGGGAGCAAATGAAGTGATATTTTTGCAAAGTTCTCACGCTTTATATGCAACAGTATAATATTAACTTTAAGCTAACTGTAATAACTACAGGAAACACAAAATCTAAAGATGGAGAATTACAGAAGATTTTTTTTTTAATTGTCTTTATTAGGCCAGGCATGGTGGCATACCCCTTTAATCCCAGCACTCAGGAGGCAGAGGCAGGCGGAGCCAGCCCGAGTTCGAAGTCAGTTTGATGAACATTAATTTCAGGCCAGCTGGGATCCTGTCTCAAAAACTAAACAAAACAAACAAATTTGTTTTTATTAAAGCAAGCCAAATGTGGTAGCACATGTTTATAATCCCAGCACTTCAAAGTTTGAGGTGGGAGAGTCAGGTTTAAAATCAGGCTGTGCTATAATTGTGAGACCTTTTCTCAGTAAATAAATTGAATAAATATGAACTATACAAATAATCATAAACAAAGATTATCTGACCAGATATTTTGTCAGTCACCCTCTCTTCCACTATCTTACCCTTGAAAGTATATGAAGAGGCCCCGTCATACTTCAGAATTCTTAAGAACAAGGTTATGTAAATGCACTATAATCATTTACCACATCTGAGTGGGGCATTGTGGCACACACCTATAATCCAGAGCTCAGGAAGACCCAGACAGCATCAAGGCCAGTCTGGGCTACAGAAGACTACCCTGTCTTCAAAATATTTAATTTAATTCATCACATTTTACTTTGTAACTTACTTATATATTTGGTAACTTGTTCTAATTTTGAGTCCACCTTTAATGAAGTTGATCATATTTTCATCCTGAAAATAATACAATTAAATAATTAGAGCACTTAGCACAAAAAGAAAAAAAATATGTTAGTGTATACCTGTATAATAAGAAAAATATTTTGTGTGTGTGTGTGTGTGTGTGTGTGTGTATGTTTGTGTGTGGTGTGTTGGGACTAGAACCTAGGGTCATGTGCATGCTGGGTAAACACCTTACCAGTAAGCTGCATCCTGTCCTATCTATTGTATTTTGACGCTATGTATTTTGTCCTATATATTTAATTTTGAAATCAGTACATTCTTCTTGCTTTACATTTGAAATGTGTCTCTTTGTAACTTTCTTACAAGTTAAAAGGTAATGAAAAGTCTTTTTAAAAAATCTTGTATTACCTTGTAATACTAAGGAAGTCATCCTCACAAACTTTGGGCCAAATGTGGTCCAAAGCGACTTCAATAGACATCACCATCAACTTTCTTCTGGGTTCAGTATTGAAAACAGCTGGTTGAAAGACTGCTCTAAGGCCAAATTTTCCCATCCACCATACCCAGTAAATGGGACTATGGTTCTTCTTTCACGGGATGCTTGAGCAAGCAGAGTCTATCCAACACTGTGAATTTCATTCTTCTGTATTTCCGTACCAAAAATGAATGGTCTGAACCCTGAAGTGGCTGTTTTTTTAATATGCAATGGGGAGGGGATTACTTCTGTTTGCCTAGTGGCAGTTAGCTTAGATGAATGGTGTTTTCAGGATCAACACTCTTTTATAATTATAATCATACCAAATAACTGGCTGAAGGAAGTTATGTTAATGGTGTGAACAGAAACAGTCCCATGTTTCACACTTCAAGAAGTTTTCACTAGTCTATAGCTACTGGAAAGATGACTTGGTATTTATTAAGCACTCGAGATCCTTCTGAAGTGAAAGAAAATCTGCATTTAGCTTACTTTCCTCATTAGTTACTAAAATGTTTAATATTCCCATTATAATAATAGGTAAAAACAAAATTCACTATACAACCTAAATGCTAATATTTTAAGAAATCTTATATTTACACAAGTTCAAATACAAGCCAGGAAGGAATTTCTTGGGTTATATTGAAACTTGAGTCAAATAAGAGTATTTCATTTCATGATTCATCAAATACTGACCAAATGAAATTCAGTTGTGCTGAGCAACGAACACAAAAACAGACAAAAGCAACATGAGGGATGGGGCATGCGCAGAGATGGAAGCGTGCACGTGTGTCCTGAGGCACAAAGTGGGGCATGAAGACGACCAGAAAACCCTCGTGAAAGCATCAGTGCTTCAAGCACAAATAAGAACCAGGAAGTGGCCAGGTAAAGGAAGGCAGAGCAGACTTTTGCGTGCAGAGGATGATTCAGGCGGAAACACCAGGAAGCTTTAAAGCTCATGCTATGTCATCTATGACTCCAAAGCATCTACTGCAAAGAGCAAAGCAGTCACAGAGGAGGGAAGCTACCTTGACCTGTGACTGGGGTACACAGCACACCCATCAGTAGCACCTGAGAACATCTGTAACTGGGAAGCAGGGAATTGCGGGTGCAGCTTGAAAACCCCTACCCGATTTGTGACACTCTGCTAGAGAACACTGCCATGCTATGAAACGCAGAAGCTGAAAACAAGGTGAGAATCTCATTCCCAAGAGCGTTCTCAATCACAGCAGAGAATGAGCTCAAAGTAAAAGAAAACAGAGACAGTGTCCAGGCGTCCGTACAGCTCTGGTGCACGCTGACCCTCACTGCTGCTGAACTACGGTGAGAACAAACGCAGGGAGAGATAGAGCCTTAACCAGCCCAAGAAGCATGAATACGAACATGTGACTGTGACCCGATGAGCGGACACAGGAAGACAGGTCATAGACCGCTCCGAGCGTTGAACTTTAAGTCCCCAAACAGAAAATAAACTTTGAGGGACTGGAGAGATGGCTCAACTGTTAAGGGCTCTGCTCTTGCAGAGGACCTGGGTTTGATTCCCAGCACCCACATGGTGGCTAACAACTGTCCATAACTGCAGTTCCAGGGGATCCAAAGCCCTCTTCTGACTCTGCGGGCACTGCGCCACACAGGTGCACTTACATGCATGCAGGCAATGCACTCACACACATAAAATAAAAATAATAAATAAAAAAGGAAAGAAAAGAAACTTTGAAAACCAGTATTTGATTGTCAAATCCCCACTTGAAAAACACATCAGGAAAAAGTGGGGGCCTCCAGGGTTAGCATTATGATACTTACACTGAGGTGGTGGGACTGTTATTCTATGCGCTCTAGGGAACAGGGCAAAGGACCACACTGATTCAATTTTACTGAACCAGAATCCAAGGTAACATGTCAACTTGAAAGAGAGAGGAAGACGGAGGAGGAAAGAGGAAGGAGGACGGGGGAGGGGGACAGGGAGCATCTTTCAAGGTAATTTAAAGTTTGAGCTTGTCAGACTTGTCCATTTTATCACTTTCTTTCTGATGATGATAACATCTCCACCCCATCTGTCACTATAACCCATAATATGAAATCCATGTTTCGAGAAGCATTGGAAGATAGAGGCATGAGAACAGGTAAAATTAAAGTACCTCATAAGAAAAGGATTCTTTGATTTAGTGACTTTTAAAGGCTGTTCTTCATGAGAGCAAGAAGGGGACTGAGAACAGAAATGAAACCTGAGGGACCCGTGGAAAGATGGCTCAACTGAACTCTGCTGAGGCAAGTGATACAAAAGGAACGAGGCCTCCTCAGCCTAGGCCACTCCTGGATGCATCATTAGCAAGTGCAAACTGGAGTCCTCTCAGTTTTCACACTAAGGAGCTTCCTGAAAGCAACCTGAATAGGCACTAAGTACATTTGAAGGGAATAAAACTCTCCGGAGTCTTCTTTTCTGCCAAACTTTATCAGAATAACAAATATCTTCCATTACAGCTCTAAATCTCAAGCACCAACACAGAACGAGCTAATACATTTTTCTGTGCAGTACTGGCAGGCTTCCCACCCAACACCCGTTCTCAGCCAAATGTTCGTTACCTGCACAAACGTGAGTGCTGCTTTCTGGAGGAGACACTCGGCATAACAGATTTCGGCATGCATTTCCTCTATTAAAAACAAAGAAAATTGTATTAAGACATTCCTGTACCCACAGTTATTGTTCTAGATGTTTGGGAAAGACCGGAAGGTAAATCAACCCAAGAAACACACAAAAACCAAGACTTCTTTCTGTGGTGCTTTTGTAAAAACAGGGTGATAACTTGTTTGTTATCCTGGAGTAAGATTTTTCCTGGAATATGTGAAACATTCAGGAAGTCATCTTCAGTCCTATTCAACATTAACAGCAGAGCCAGGCACTTGGTGTCTTGAGACCCAAGTTCAGACATAAGAGGAAACCAGATGTTTATTTGAGATAAGGTCTCACTCTGGAGAACAAGACCTTGAACTCATGGCAATCCCCATGCCTCAGCATCCTGAGTGCTGGGATTATAGGCATGAACCATCACATCTGACTGAGGAAACAGATTTCAAAAGCTTTTCTATTAAAAAAAAAAAAAAGCTTCAAAGTAACATAAATGTTTAACAGTTATAAAGATTAAAAGATCCATTAAATTTATGAATTCTAGCTTCTAAAATATGAAGGCATGATCATCATGACAATGACTAGACACATTATTAACCTGATGGAGAACAATAACTCTCCAGAGCTCTATGAAACACTGCTGTCCTATATGCTCAAGCAAAGACAGTGTTTGAAAAGGAACTGTGCTATTAGAGTTTCAGAGTGATTTCTGATATCAGCACAAAGGCTGACTGACCACAGAAAGGGAATACTGAAGCTATGCCTAGCCCAGAAATGTGTGCCATGCCCCAAAGACATGCCCTGGCTTCCTAGACATTACACTTGTGGAGACTAGGGAGATAAATCTTTACATTTTTTGCATAAACAAAATCATCAGATTCCTGCTTTCTCCGTGGGATGCAAATTGGTATATTATTTAAGTAAATGAGCTTGGAGGAAAGACTGCCATGTGTTAGCTATAGAATAGAGCACGAGCTGCCCTCCCTCTGCTGGTTTCCTCATTTATACAGTCCACTAATATCTCTACTTTGCAGGATTAAATGAGACGCTGCTGGTAGAGATTACCATACATAGTAAGCACTTGATAAATGCTAGCTACTTTCATTAACATTACTTTACTCTAGGTCCATGTAACTGCTTTCTTGTAAGTTTGGAAAGCAGGGGGCTTTGTACAGCAGGTGATGGAAAAACAGGGAGCAGTCTGTTTCACTGGGAGTGGTGATCAAACTAGGTAAGAATGTGTGTCTTCATCGACACACACAACCTAGAGGCTCTCCAGTGTGGACTCAACTTTCTGTGCTCATACTCCAAATGTTCAATTTACAAAGAAGTAGCTACATAGCTAAGATCCCCAGCAATCCGCAGAAAAGGTGAAAGCCCCAAAAGACAGAACATCAGGACTTAGTGCTGCCTGTGCGTGTCCTGGCAGAGTCACCAGTCAGCGCCACCGTCTTCAGGACACTTCCCGTAAAAGTGTGCCTCTTGGTTTTCTCAGTGTCTTCACTGCGATTCAAATCGGCAGCTTATTTTTAGAGTCACCTGAATATCCTCTTCCTAGGTAACTCTGCAACAAAGTGAGAAATATCTATGGTTTTTAACTCCAAAAGCCTCCTCAGGAACAGACAACTGGCCTAGGGCGGGTGTAGAGAGAAGGAACTCAGCAGTGGTGGGGGACCAGCAAGAAGAAAGGCAGGAAAGCTCGGGGCACCCCCAGGGAAAGGGTAAGAGGGCTCCTTTGGCTGTAGTCTGAGGTGAGTGAAGGGAGGAGAGGGTAATGAAGCTGGAAAGCTTAGTCCAGGTTGTATTATGGGCAATGCTGAGTGTCAGAGTTGGTTTGATTCAGAAGGCTAAAGAGTGAGTTCTTGCAGAGACCTGAGTGGAAGGGTGACTAGACCAATGAGCCTAAAGAGACAGACCGGAGAGCAGTATAAAGAATGTACCTTGAAAGCACAGCAATTACACCTGTAATGCACATGTAAGTATTCTTCATATTAAAGATCCTTCCACATCCTAAACGTTGCATATGAATCTCTCTCTCTAAAGTCAATCTGAAGCCCCGCCAACCCCTGAAGAAAGAGCAGGTGCATTCCACATGAAGCCAGTGAAACACACCCATTCCTGGGTACAACTAGAAACCTGAGACTGCAGGTGGAAATTAGCAAAAGGAAAACAAACGGTGTACTAAAGCTACAATGTTGTTCCACTGCCTCAAACACAATGTCTGGCTTGCAGTAACAGCAAAACCACTGGGAATAGCATGCGATTTAACTTACCAAAGCTTTATTCTTTTACTGTGTGTATCAGTTTCCTACAAGATAAAGCATTCCATCTTGGAAGCCAGACATGGTGGTGCACACCTGTAATCTCAGCACTTGTGATTCAGAGGCAGGTGAATCTCTGTGAGTTCCAGGCCAGCCTGGTCTACATAGTGAGTTCCAGGCCAGCTGAGGCTACAGGGAGACCCTGTCTCAAAACCACACACACACACACACACACACTCAAATTCTGTTTTGGAGTGAAGCTTTTTGAGACTAAGGATGTTCCAAGAGAGTTGCAACATTCAATCCTGCAGGGAAGCTTGTTAAAACCCAGGAAGTAAACAATTCAATAGTTGTAGGAGTCCCTGAAATGGACCACATTCACTAGCTCCACCCTCCCAAGCTTATATAAACAGGGAGGACTGCAGAGAGATATTATAAGCCTAGCCTAGCTGCCCTGAAGTGGCAGGGACCAGCTGAGCAGCCTGGAAGAGGCACTCTCTGACCTGTTCAGCTGCCTGCAAATCATGAAGAGAGCTCCAGGGTTCCATCATCCATGTTGGGATAGGCTTCTGGTATGCAGCTATCTTTGACTCATTTCTGCCCCTGAAGTAACTCCTCACCCATACTCCTGTAAGTAACCCTAATAAAACTTACTGGTTCACTAAGTTGGACTCTGGTTGGTCTCCTTACTTTGGTTTGTCTTTGGTTCCCTACATGGGCTGAGTAGACATATGTTCTGTTTCCACAGGAATAGTGTCATACATTATACTGTGACTGATTTACACTGGATAGTTGCTTCATTTTCAAAATTAGCCACTGGGCATTTTTAAGTAAGTACCACCAGAATTCCTCTTAATTGTAAATTGCTTAGTCCTCTGAAAGGAATTTATAATGCACTCAATAGTTAGCTAAGCCCAGCCATTCTGTGTAGTCTAAGACAATTCAGAATAAACTACAGACATGGGCTAGCTTATTTTTTAATAATTAGTAGAAAGCAAACTTCTATCCTATTCCAAATTTCCTAAAGCACTCTGTCCAAAGGCATTGTGAAAAGATGAGAGCACGGCATCATCTATTTTTAAGATGTTTAACATGCTGCTAATTCAATGTTTCCATCATCCATAAATGTTTTCTACCTACATAAAGGAGAAAGTGTAGGAACGGTGGAAAGAGTTGTGGCTTCAGAAAGCAGACTAGGGTTAGACCCTGCTTTGATAGGCGAGTTACCTTGGCTACTCATTCACCTCTGTGAGCATCAGCGAAACAAATTAGACTGGTTAGTGTTCAGAAGAGCACCAAGGAGACTATATGACACAAGAGAAGACTTTTAAAATACGTCATTATTTAAGCCTAATCCCAGAACTGAGGGGGAAGCAGAGCCAGGGGGATCTCTGTGAGATTGAGGCTAGCAGGGGACACAGAGAGACCCTATCTCAAAATGGGGGGGGCACCATTATTTTTTATTATTATTTATAAGCACACCAAAAAATATCATGTCATTTATGGTTTAAAATTCTAATGTGATTCCCATACCATAAAGAAAAAGGAGGCAGGAGGCAGGAGGCAGTGGGCAAGTTTTATTCTTATGGATAGTTGGAGGTCAGTTTCTAACGAAAAAGAAGATGTTTCAACTGCCAGAAGTAACTAACAAAATATCTGGTTCTATCATGGTTGAGTCAACCCTATACTCTTCTTCGGTAAGTCCTAAAGAAAGACATGCTGTAGTCCTCTTCCATAATCAACACTCTAAACCCACATCGCTCAGATGTGCCCAGCTTCTCCAGTATACCAGACAAGCTGATAATACACACGACACAAAGCTTCACAATAAAACACATCAAGATGTGTGTGATATATGCATAACCATTAGGAATGCCTCTGACGGTGATGCCCAGAGCTTGCTTTAACCAGCCACAGCTACATCCAGCACTTTGTGTTACTTACCTCTTCCAGAGAACAAGTCTGACAACAACATGGGCACACGTTCTCCTCGGGGGCAAAAGGTTTTGAAATGCACTGTATTTCTTTTCTAAGACCACCTGGTTGCTCCTTTCTGGTAAAGGACCCTTCCAGACAGAGCTGACTGGGAAACTTCTACCTTAAGCTCCCTGGGACTGCAATGACAGGAGCCATTTCCTCCCCTCTACCTGATAAGGATGCTATTAGTATTCATGGATTCTGACCATTTCTAAGGACCACAAACCAAACGGCTGCATCAGCTATTCAGACAAACACTGTCCATTTGTAAAGAGTATAAAAATTTCTTTTACCTAGGATAAAACATTAATAGTTTATAGAAAATGAAACTCTCCAAGATGGTTGGTGTGCTGGATAGCTTTAGTGTCAACTTGACACACCTGGGTTGAGGGAGCCTCAATTGGGGAATTGCCTCCGTTGGACTGGCCTGTGGTCATTTCTGTGGAGTATCTTCTTGATGAGTGATGTGGGAGGGCCCAGCCCACTGTGGGTGGTGCCACCCCTGGGCAGGTGGGCCTGTGTTGCATAAGAAAGCAGGCTGAGCAGGGGCCAAGGGAGCAAGCCTGTAAGCAGCGTTCCTCCATGGCCTGTGCTCCAGCTCCTGCCTCCAAGTTCCTGCCCTGAGTTCCTACCTTGGGCTCCCTGATGAACTGTGACCTGGGAGATGTAAGACAAATAAACCCTTTCCTCCCCAAGTTGGTACTGGTCAGAGTGTTTTGTCACAGCAATGAAGAACAAACTAAGACAGTTGGTAAGAATATAAAGTTTGAGAAAAATAGCAATCTCTATAAGCATTTTAAAACTTCAAATCATTAATTTCAGTACTTCTACTTTTAGGAATTTATCCTACAAAATACTTGGAAAAAAAGTACATAAAGACATATGGACAAGGATTTTGGGACAAGCAGTATTTGTTAACAATGAAAACCTAAAAACCATTTAACTGACTTTCAACAGAGAAAAAACACAAGTTATGGCAGGCCCGTCCTATGACCTGTTGTATGGCTCTGTGACAGAAGTACAGTTACATGATCCAGGGAGAGATTACACTGCAGAGCAACATATATGATGTAATCTGATACTTGCCAAAAAAACCAAAGCACGTGAAAAACAAAACCCCACGTGTCCCTTACATATACATTTGTGTTTGTACATAAACGTCTACATAGCTTCAAAGATCAACCACTACCAGGGCTGGAGAGATGGCTCAGTGGTTAAGAGCACTGACTGCTCTTGTAGAGGACCCGGGTTCAATTCCCAGCACCCACATGGCAGCTATGAACCATCCTTAACTCCAGTTCCAGGGGAATCTGAAGCCCTCTTCTGACCTCCCTGGCATTGTACAACATGGGTGCACTCACATACAGGCAGGCAATACACTCATACACCTCAAATTAAAAAAAAAAAAAAAATCAACCACTACCAAAGGTGACCTTGGAAGTGTAAATAATACAGGGGAGAGAAAAAGACATTTCATTTATTTTCTGCATTTCAGTAACAGATTTTATGAATATGATCACTTCTTAATTTTTAAAAGAAACACCAATCATTTAAACAACGCTTACCTTCACTCAGTTGTTCCAGTGACCCTCGAGAAAGAAGACTTGAGAAAGATTCTACAACAGTGCATTTTTTTCTATATCTGCATTGAATACATACAAGGGGGAGAGAAAGGAAAATACCAGCATCAGACTGAGCGTGTGGTCACTGATACCTCAGTCACTTCGAAAAGCCACCAAACTGGGGCTCAAACCCTCAGGTCTGCAGGGCCACGGCCACCCTCTCCCAGTGCTGCTTGCCTGGCCACTCATCCTGGGCTGCCAACCTACATCTACTAAACATGATGCAGATAAGCCCACAAACCCCAGGGAGCACAAAACTTATCGTACCTCCCCTTATCTCTCTGGATGAAAGCAGAGTTTCTGTGGTAAAAGTCTCCCCAAGTAAAAAATGGAGTCAAAGCACTCTATTTGGAAAAGTTCTTCATTTGATGGACTTACACCATCATTACATAAAGATTCACTTTGCCCATGTTAAAATTTACCAGTACAAATAATAACTTTCATTAGGGTCTTCCTATGTACACAGTGAAGTTTAAAACTAAAACCCAATCTCATTTTAAACCAACTAAAAGTGTCCAAATATGGACGTCCTTAGACAAATAAAACATTCCCGTCTGAATTTGCAGTTTGTCACACATAAAGCAAACATGCTCCCTGCATGATCTGACACGGCATGTAGTTCCTAACTCACCTATCACAGAACTCCAAAGTTGCTCTGTGCTGACTGCTCTGAATCCTCCCTCAGCCCTTCTCTGGTTCAGGCCCCATGCTACCCATGAAGATGCCAAATGGGAACTATATTATAATTCCTGCTAGTACTTTCTGAATTGTATTGCATTAAACTAGAACAGAAACTCTGAAGCTGAAGTCCTTTTCTGTAACTCTGATCATCCTCAACCACAGAGACCTCAGTTTGCAAACATCATTCACTACCATTCGGGCAGGAAGGTTTGAGATCCTAGTCAAATATTTAACTACTCAGTCATACTTTTGGCAAGTTTGCAAAGCGTCCTTCATGGCAGAAATGCCATTTTGGATGTCCTGTTGCTCAAAGGTCATGACAGCCTGCAACACAACGATGGTACTGTAGCCCAAGGCGTGGTACATACTCTCCTTGGCCCTGGAGAAAACACAGCAGTTAACTCATCTCAACACAATGAAAGGAAAAGATAAAAACCAGAGTCCTGGCTTTGTCTGATACCTAACAATACTAAACCTTCACCAAACATGTGACTTTGACAGAGATAACCTCTTCTCCCTCACCACAATCACTGACATGATACCAGCTGTGAAGGGCATGCTCTAAAACTTGATTTAAAGCCACACAGAATAAAATGCTGTGGGCAACATGCGTTTCCTTGCTTCAGCACCAGGGGGCAGCCTGTGGATTCAATTCCTAGAGAGAGTTTAAAAACCATTTTTTTTTCCAGTTGAATAAGACAGTATGCTGTCTTAAGATATGAAATGAATGAGGTTTAGTGGCATATACACTCATAATCCTAACACTAGAGAAGTGGAAACAGGAATGCAGGAATTCAAGGCCATCCTCTGTAATTTTGAGGCCAGCTGGGCTACAAGAAACCCTATCTCAAATTAAAAAAAAAAAAAAAAAAAAAAAATATCTAGTGCAAATTCTTGGTAAACAGTTGTTACACTGTACTGTTTAGAAAATGACAAGAAAGAACAGAGAAAAGGCGAAAACATCTGAAATTGTTCTCTCTCTCCTCTTGAGTCAAAGCCCATGAGGAAACAAAGATTTTTGCAATAAATTGGGTCATTAACATGGGGCTCTGACCAAGGGAAGCCTTAGGACCTCGGATCTAATTTAGTCATACCTGAGACTGCCGATCAAATCTCTGGATAATTCAAGTCATCAAGCCATCAGCCATGACTGCTTTGGGAACCTAGGATGTTGACCCTGAGGATCTGAGTGCACCACCAGCTCTTCTCAAAGGGCTGATGATTTATAATGTTTAAAATATCAATGTGGGTAAATATTAAGGCCCAAGAGCCTGGTACCATTAAAACACATGCCACACTATTCCACTCCCCTGTGGAAAGATACTAACTAGGCTTGGTAATACTCAGTTTGTCCTGAGCAATAAGGGCACTTCCCATTCAATAGAACCAGGTAGAATAAGACGCCCCAGGGTCATCAATGGTGATCTCAAACCTCACCCTTTTAATCACAGTTCCTCCAAGAAGAAGAAGAAGGGAAAAAAAAAAGATTTAAGGGGGGGTGGGTACATTTTTTAACAATGATAAATGCATAAAGATCAGCGAACATAAAACTAAATATTTTTATTCTATATTATAAGCAGATAAGTGCTGGTGGTAAAGATCAAAAAGAGATGTGTTTGAAGAAAGAATAAAGGGACAGGTAGCGAGGCTGAGAGAAAAGTCAGAGGAAAGGGAAAGAGTGGGAAAGGCAGACAGACAGAAGAAGACCAGGGGGCAGAGGTCCAGAAAACAGCAGACGTCTGAGGGGCACCACTGCCCTCTTGTAAGGAATGGGATTCCCCACTGCAGTGCATGTCATTAGCTAGCAAATTACAAATGAGATCTTGGCTTCAGATAAGAGCGACTGTTGGAGGTGTACTACAGGGCTATTTCTGCAAAGTCACAGTCACACCGCAGCTAAGGCCCGTGGCCAGAGATGATGGCAAACAGGCTGAGCGCATGGTGCCCATAAGTGAAATGAAGCTCAAATCAAACTGTCCAACTTTTTATTACAGAAGTAGGGAGCCCCAACAATATTCTATTCCTTTAAACTTGATTTTACCACTACGATTGGGCTTGTCTGGTCCTCCCGTGGCTCATTTCAAAGAAAACTTCTTTCAGTAATGTTCAAAAGGAACATCCGTAAATGATTTCACTTAGGAAAACAAATTTATTTGTTTGTTTGCTTGCTTACTTTTGGGACAGGGTCTCCCTGTAGCCCCAGCTGGCCTAGAACTGGCTATATACACCAGGCTGGCCTCCATCTCACAGAAATCTGCCTGCCTCTGCCTCCTAGTGCTGGATTAAAGGACTATACTACACCACGCCCAGCAGGAAAACAAATTTGAAGCCTTAAAAAACCACACTGATGCCAACATCTGAGCAAGTATAGAAACTACAATATGAGAATCGCAATTTTCTAGTGAGTAAATTTGAAGAATCATTTCTTAACTGAATTTTAAATGGATCAACAGTAAGGGGGTCTCAGGTTAGCTTATAAACACAAAGGTAGAAACAGATACATTAGATACAAGCAGGACATCAAAGAAAACCATGAAAAAAAGTTTTATCTAAAAACAAATAAAGCTAATTACCATGGACGAAGCAATTCTAAGGCATCTGTAAATTTGTTGCTTAGAAATAAGTTCAATGCCACCGCACATTCTTCTAGGCCACTCTTGAGATCCACTTTGGCTGATGAACTAAAAATTAAAAAAATAAGAATGTCTGTGATTTTTACTATTAGCATATTGTCCAGGCGGTGGGGGCTGACTGCTGACATGGGACAGGACAGGGAGATTGGGGACCTATGGAGACTGGCTGGAATTCCAACTTCACCATTTCCCAATGTTAGGACAACAGAACTTTCCCCATCCTCTGAAAGCTTGATGCTTTGAGTCTATAAGAAACATGAACAGGAGAAGGTTTACATGCACAGAGGTGTGGCAAAAATGAAAAGTGAGCTCCCAGCAGCCCATAATAAGGTTTAGAAGCACACGAACCTATTCAAAGGAGAGGGGCAAGTGGAGCTGGAGAAACAGCAAATGACTTATTTATTTATTTATTTATTCATTCATTCATTCATTTTCTGGCTTTTTGAAACTGGGTCTCATGCTAGAGTCCAAGCTGGCTTCAAACTCAAGGTAATCCCCATCCCCCTCCTCATCCTCCCAAGTGCTATAATTACAGGCCTGACACGTCTCCCAATTTCCAGACAAATCCTTAAGTGTAGTATCTAGTCTTTTCCCTAATCTTCCCTAACTGGTAAGATTTATAGGGAAAGAACGTCTGCAATTGCATTCTTTCTGGAAGAATTTCCTTTATCAGACAAGGGAACTTCAAAGAAAGTTCCTCCCTGTTCTTTCAAAGGGAAAAAAGAAAAGGCATCCCCAAAGTACAGTGCTTAGACATCCTGACTACCAAGAAAGACCTTCATAACCAACATCTTTCTGACTGTCCCGCCGTTTCCTTTTCTTTTTCTTCCTCCCTCCCTCCCTCCCTCCCTCCCTCCCTCTCTCTCTTTCTTTCTTTCTCTCTCTCTCATAGCCCAGGCTGGCCTGAAACTCATTAGTAACCCAGCCTGGACTATAACTGATGATAATCCACCTGCCTCAGATTCCCAAGTGCTAGGATTACAGGCATGTGCCACCATACCCAGCTTCTGAGGTGTCATTTCCTGAGCCCCAATACTAGCTATGTCTAGAACATACATGGGCCTCAACTTTCTTATCTACAAGATGGGAACAGTACAAGTTCAACTTATTTCCCGGGGTTGTTGTGAGGAAGAGATTAGCCAATAAATATTGCCCATAATAGAGACTAACTAGATGAGGGGTCCCTTCCCTAGTATATTTCATTCACAGGAGAAGAGAGATTTTATTTTAGATGCATAGGAGGCAAAATGAGCTTCAGTGGTGAACCATACTATCTAAACTGTAGAGGATATTCTTAAAGAAAGTAAACTTGCTGGGGAGGTGGTAATAGCTTAGCGGTAGAATACATGCCTAGCATAAGCTAGGGACCTATGTTCAATTCCTAGCCCCACACCAAAAAAAAAAAAAAAAAATGATGAATTAAAATAAATTTGAAAATAATTCAAAGTTGACTTTTCAGCTCTCATGTGTTACTGGTATCCTTACTGCTTCATCAAACATTTAATACAATTCCTTCAACTACTACTTACGGAGCACTGAACACACACCAGGCCATTGTACAGCAATGTGAATTGTAGAAATGATAACAATGCACAGCAACTGTCTACAGACACATAGATTTCCTCCTGGCTAACAGACATTCAGCTAACTTCCCCTCCCACTGTGGAAGCTGGTTTTCCCAAGTCTGTGCCTTCATTTACTCCTTTGCTTCATGTTTGTTCCATGTTTATTATTCCTTTGTATGTCATAATATTAGCCAAGTTCCCACACTAAGTTAAATGAGCTCTTTAACTTGCTCATTTTTATATCTGTGTAAGCCATGATATTATCCTCTTTGAAAACCGTCTGTTAATCATTTATTATTGGCAGAAATTGTGTTCCTTAAAACTACAGAGGCCAGCAAGACGGCTCAGGGGATAAAGGTGTATGCCTTTCTATGATACAGCCTAGCGACCTTAGTTCAATCCCTGAAACCCATGTAAAGGTGGAAAGAGAAAATTAATGCCACAAAATTGTTCTTGGAGCTCCACACTGTATCATGGAGCATGCACCACACACACATTGTGCACTCACACACATACACACACACAACAATAATCCATTTTTTAAACTACAGCCATCTCAATAACTTTTAATAGGAAAATCATTTCATAAGTGTCCCAGCTCCATTTCTGCCACTATGACAAATACTCTGACAAGAAGCCACAAGGGAGAAAAAGAAATATTTCAGCTTATAGTTCCAAACTACAGTCCATCATTTGGGGGAAGTCAAGGCAGGAACCTGCGCAGATGGTCTCATCACATCCATGCCGAGCAGAGAACAGCAAATGCACCATGCTGCCTGCCTGCTGCTCTCCTGTCCTATGTGGCCCAGGACTCCTGCCTAGGGAATGGTGCCACCCACAGTGGCCGAGTCTTTCTACATCAATTAACACTCAAGACAATATGGCACAGACTTTCACATAGAACAACCTCAAAGTCAAGCACTCACCTGAGACACTCTTCCCGTGTGATTCTAAGCTACAGAAGTTGACATTTAAAATGAATTATCCATAAGTACATAAGAATGGGGTGATTTGGCAAAGAAAAATTCTGTCAAGAAATAAGCCTGAAGTTACTCAGGATTAAGCTATTCAGGATGAGGTAGGAAAGCTAGTGAGGAAACAGGAGGAAAATGACCCCCACATTCCATCCCTTTCTGGTTTTGACTGCAATCTCTCACTAGCTGACACCCAGAAGATTTCGACATAACTAATCAGACCACCTGCAAAGACCCATATCCCCCTTTCTGAGAGACACCATAAATGAGACTGTTAAAGTGACTAACGATCTATGCTTTAAGTCCACTCACCTTGTACCTGTGCACAAGGAACCCTCTCATCCATAGTTATTCTCTACTTTGCTCCCTTTTCCAGCTGTAAGTGAGTACAATGTACCTTTTAAGGTGGTTGTGCTCTTCAAGGACGAAATTCTATGACTAAGATAAAGGAATACACCAGCACCTACTTTCCCTAATATCCAAACTTAGTTGGCATTAAGTAGCCTCAAAGCCTAAAATCACGTACAGGGCTACTGCTGAGGTGCTTGGACATGCTCCTCTCCTAAGGCCTGCACCTGACTCTCCTTGAGTAAGTTCATCTTTCTACCTGATCATTACACTTACTGACTCTGCTTCACTCTTGGAACATCCTAACATTTTTTTCTACATTGTTAAGAACTGAGCTCACCTGAGTACAGGTCACCCCAAGGCTCTGAGGGGGCTCCTTGGTCAGTGCACCCAGCATTATCAAGTTTAAATTCCTGCTGCCAGGGACAGGGCAGCTAAGGCAGGAGAATGGCAAATCCAAGGACAGCCTGGGCAACTCAGGAAGAAATCATCTGAATAGTTTTTTTAATTTAAAAGGCGTGGGCTATATATAACTTGGTGGTGGAGTGCTTGCCTTGCATGAGGAAGGCTGTAGGTTCAATCTCCAGAAATAAATAAATAAATAAATAAATAAATAAATAAATAAATAAATTTGAAAAGTGTTTAAGCTTAAGTCTCTATGTCATCACTCAACATTATTTATTTATTTATTATTTATTTATTTATTTATTTACTTATTTATGTTGTGTAAGACAGGATCTTTTTATATAGCCCAGGCTGACCTTGAACTCATGATTCTACTACTTCTGTCTTTCAAGTACTGAGATTAAAGCCCACACTGTCCAATCCTCCTCCTCATTATCATCTCCATTGTTTCTTCTTCCTCCTCTTCCTCCTCCTCTCTTCCCCTCCCACTCCTTCTAGGCTACACAAGTGATCTAATACCAAGCTACAGGCCCAACCTTCTAAATGCATTCTTTAAAAGAGGCACGGCTCTACCAAAAACTGTTTCTGACAACACCATACAGAGCCACGCTCTGGCCTCAGGTCCTCTCAAGGGTCCTCACTAAGTAGACCAGAGCTAATACAGTACCAGCAAAGGGCCTGCTGGATGACCCCACCCATCCTGTTTCAGCTCACTTTTCCTCCATGATTTCTAATGTTTACAATTTCGTTACTCACCCAGAGTGTTGCAAAGCCCCCAATGTGTTTTTGGAACATAATCTGAATTATAAAGCAAGGATAGTTCCCCAGCTCTGCTCTTAGGGAGAGAGTATGAACTCTACCATGGCTTCTGCACATCCACCCCAGAGACCCAGAATAATAGCCTGGCCATCTGTTTGGGGAAGAGTAGTATTGGTGGACACACTGGCCTGTCTTCTCTCTCTAATATGTGTGCAGCCACTGCTTTACTCTGCCACCAGCACCTTCGACAGTACCTAAGAGCATGCTCACCAAAAGTAGCAAGTGAGTGTGTGGTAGTGCTACCCTGGGTAGAAACGGAAAATTCTCCATGCCTAAAACTGGAGGCGACTTTCCAACTCTCCTCTAGGGTGGGGAAGAGCTGGGACCATCTCTTAATGGAGGCATAACTGGAGACCTAAGAGCTGCCTTTACATTTCCAGATGATGATATCAAACCAAGTGCTGAGAGATCACAAGCCTTTCACAGGAAGGATTTTACAAGAATGTTCACACTTCCACAGTCGCCATGACCAAACTATGCCAGTGGAACCTGAAAGTCCCTCACATTTATCTTGTTTTATCTCCACTATACAGTCCACACTAGCACTCAGGTACTCCATCTACAGACCTATTTCTCCATCTTTCATCACCTCTACTACCCCATCAACTCATTAATCATAATTCATTAATGCTTATGGAGCATGCTTCTCTAAGTGCTGGCAATGTATCAATGAAAGAGGTATACTGGGTCCAGGGCTCTCAAGGAGGTAAGAAGGCAGATTTACTCAAGGAGACCAGAAGACAGCAGATAATTTAGTAGGTGACTGAAATAATCTCAGATCGAGATAAACAGACTGTAATAGAACTGGTTTGAGGGATGGGTGGGTCACACATAGAGGCCTAACTCTGATGAAGTCTCTGATAGAAAGATGCCACCAACGTGCTACACAACAGAGTGACTCATGGGGAATATCTAGGTTGGGGGGAGGGGGACTTCT